ATAATTAACTCTTTAGAAATAAGGTTAGTGTTTTGCTAGACGAAAAGCTCTTCCTGAAAGTGAAGTGAACAAATATGTACAAAGATTATTAGAAAATGTGTGCAACCATTTTGACCCCGAGACATAGCTTCCAAGGAGAACCAGAAAATAAATTATAATGTATGAAATTTGGCTCAAAAAAGAACAACTTCTAGAACTAGTTGATAGCTCCTTAATACATCTCATACTCAGGGAAAAGTTAAAAAATTAGGTAAAAAAGAATGCATTCTACCATTACAAAACAAGCACCATCTTTTCAATCTAAAAATTTAACACAGGTAGCACCACTGATTCCAAAACTTTTATCTACCCTCTCCAACATACGTACCAAAAACCTTGTAGTCTTGTATCAAAAAGCACCTTTATAGCTTCATATAGACTTTTATCCAGGTATGCTCATCCAAGAGAAGTATTAGACATCTCACATGATCCCATGAGACTCACAGTGTGGGTCATACACAGTTCATTCAGACAAGCAGCTGATCTCCAAGAGCTTAACCAGTCCAAACCTCAATGGTGAGCATTTTCAGTTTTACTTCATCAAGGTTTAAAATGTACAGCGGCGTACTCAACCGTAGGTAGAGCAGAAGAGATGTTCAGAGCAATACACAAATCACCGGGCTAACTAGATGCAATGAGAAACTACTGGAGGGAGGGAGGGAGAAAGGGAGGGATCATGGAAATGCTAAGTCAGTATCAGATAGGTGAAGTCTCTAATCTAATTCACTACCCTGTACTGCAATATATAGACTGAGAGAATAATTGAATGTGTCTCTCACTGGGGAGGGGCCTCTGACTGTCAGGACAGGAAGAACTCCCTCTTCTATCCATAACATTGGATGGAAATACATGGTCTTTCTTTCCACCTCTGAACCAGAGATGAGCTGATTAAAGAAAAGCAGAATTAAAGAGTAGGCAAGGTAAGTCTTTCCCTCCTACAGAGAAATACCAACTTCTGTGGCAGTGAGTAAAAGTGGAAAACGGTGAAAATAGTAAACAATAAAAGGTAGAAAAAAATACAGGAAGGAAAAGCAAAACCAGTAAACACATTTAAATATTAATAGATTTGTAACACAATTGTTTAATCATGAAACGCTACACCAGGTTCAGAATGGTTGCACGCCAACAGAGCGTACAAACTTTTCTAGTAAACGTAGGACCAGCATGAAGTACACTGGCAAAATGTATTTCTCAAGGTGTTGAACATAACAGGACAGCCCTACAGCATCAAGATGGATCATGTGTACCCTCTCCTTTTCAGGATCCCAACTACAACACAAATGAAACAATAGACATTCAACAATTTTGTCTGAGGCTTATGTGCAAAACCCAAGGAAGTGGTTGCAATGAAAGAAATGGCAATGAGGTCAGTTTTTGCACTATGGCATAGATCCTTGAAGTATTTAAATAAACCTAAAGACCCATTTTCAAAAGTGATCAAATCTAGCACCAAGAGCAGAGAAGTCTTAATCCTACTGAAAATCAGAGCAGTATAAATTCCTGTTCTGCTTAGGAACCAGGAAATTGAATACAATGTGAAACCTTGGTATCTAAACACTGCAAGTATCTGTGTTCTGTATTTCTCATAATTGGATAGGGAGCTGTTTTGTCTCTGTGCAGAGAAATGTGCTAGATCAATTCTAGACCTTATGAGCAAAGAACTCAGTGCCTTTTCTCTTCCTCCACCTTCAGCTAAGTGTTTCCTGCCCTCACTGCACTTCTGAAGTGTGATGTGAGCCAAGCATTCCTCTCACTCTCAAAGTAAGCATCTTTAAGAGATCTGCATAAAAATAAATCTCCTTGAGTTTATTCATGCTGCAGAGCCTTAGTCCTGCAGGAAACTTTCATTTTTCCTTTGTTTCCTTAGAGGGGACAACCTGTCCCTGCTGTGCACATTTGAGTTTTTAAGTGGGTGGGGTGTCTTGGAAGTATTGTTCTCCGGGGGACATAGTGACAAGCACATACACATTCTGGGGACTGTGATTACTTCTGGTCGTCACAGAAGGACAAAGAATATTGTAAAAACTACTTATAGTTCTTGAAAAAGATATCAAAATATCACTATTGTCTTTCTTGCCAAGAAACATACGCTGGAGTCACAATCCTAGAGGTCACTCCCCTGAAATCAAACAAGGGCTGAAGTGATCTACTGGCTACATGGGCTTTGTGCTGTCTCTGTATTAGTGACATTTCAGAAGCCCAAGAGAGTAATACTGACTGAAGATCTTTCAAATGCTAACAGTAGTTCAGCACAGGCCTTGTCTTTCTGAGGTTTAATCTCAGTTTCTTTCTCTAAAGACTGGTGGCATAATGGACAACATCCCTCGCCTCTTGCTCAGACAAAGACTCAGTTAGCGTAACCTCTTTGTTTAAACTCTAAGGTCTTAGGGGCAGAGACTGACAATTTACAATCTGGATGTGAAGAGCCTACTATTAAACAGGGACCTGATCTGGAACCTCTGGGCAATGCTGCAAGACAAGCACTAATTACAGTGGTGTCATCTTGTTATCTGAGCAAATGACTGTAACGCCTTCATTTCCCTTCTGGCTCTCCTTCCACCCACCTCTGTTACCTCAACTTAGCTTTATGTCCTCATGTAAACAGAGATTTTATTCCTCATTTGCTTATCTTAAAACTTTCAGGAGTTATATTTGCATGTAGCAAATGGTCATTAAGAACTTCCAGAGAAAAAGCAAAAAGCCGAGTTTCCCAGAAATGTGAATGAGCACTGGCCCTATTTTACAAAACTGCAGCAGCATCACAAAGATATACATTTGTGTATGTCCCTTTTTGGTCCCTCTTTATAGGTAGTTAGACAAAGTAGTGAGCCACAAGTTCTGACTCTCCAACTACTGGTCTAAATACAGTCAAAGATTTTAAGCTCCCTTCTCAAGGTTTCAAATGAGTTCACCAAGATACAATTAAAATAAGAAACAATTATTACATAGCTCTTCAGTCATACTGCAAAATCACTTTACTAACTGCATAAACAAAGTTTCATTCTCAAAAGTATCAAAGCTAATATTAAACATGCAGAAATTTAAATATCTGAATAGATAACGACACATCTTAAGAAGTATGTAGTTTGCTTTGTTCTTGGCCCCCTCCCCCTACACTCCTCTGGTCACACAGGCCCCTTCTTATTGCCAGAAAGCCTCTCAGCCATTAGAGGTATTTATTTATTTCTGGGGATGTGAGGATAAAATGAACAGAAAGTCCTAGATGAACCAGTAAAGGTTCTTTTGGTATTTTAATTTTTATTGCCTATTTGAAGCTTTGGATTATGACTTTTCCTGAGGAATAAAATGTCACATCAGCAAACATAATGAGATTGATGCAATTAGTGTGAAGATATTGTAAATACCCAAAAGAGAAACAATTTCACCGTTGAACACAGTGGAACTGTGCTTTGTGATTTAATCCTTATTCACGTAAGTGATTACAGAAACAAAACTTCCACTTTAAGACTAATAAATTTCCAGCTCTATGGGAAAGCAATTTCATAGAAAAGTTCATGTTCACCTTTCTAGATCTTCTACACAAAAAATGGCTACATGAGAATTATATCAAAGTTTTACTGTTTTCAGGCACATTACCAAAATATGCCGTTTAATCAGTAAACTACAATATTAATAATTCTAAAATAGTATGCAATTTTTAAACATTGACTATTACAGTCTTTCTAATTTATATTCAATACACTAACTTAATATTTTTACACAATCCCAGCAAATACAAGCCCCCCCCCAATAATTTTCAATATATCAAATGTGAAAACCAAAAGCCAAACATGGAAATGGGACGTTTTTACAAGACTATTTAGAGTTCAATTATATTCCCCATAGAAAAGTTCATCCTTTGCATTCCTTTAAATACGAACTAAATCTTGGTGAAGAGCACTAGGCAAAATGGGGATGAGATTACAAGTGATTTTTAGAGTTTCTCATTGAGGCAATGTAGCAGCTTGTATTCCAATCTGCTACAAGGCAAAATTCCAGTGACCTGTTTCTGTTCAGCTTTAGCTAGATGGGCTCAGCCACTGTACATTCCATAAAGGTCTAAGCAAATTCACTCCTGAAAAATCTAGTACCACCCTAGCACCTAGCATGATTACATAACCTTCCTTTTCCTTTTTGCAGCCCGCGTGTGGGGCATGTGGAAGCATGTACGGCGCAAGGGGCAAAGTCCCCATAAAGAAACTTCGCAGTGGCAGACCAAAGGACCACAGCAGTCCCTCTGAAGAATTTTCTCAGCAAAATAAAAAATAAAAATATATATATACAGTACAAGCCTGTCCTGGACTAAAGGCTAAACAAAACAAAACAAAACAAAACAAACCCCAAACAAACAAACAAAGAAAAATCATCCCCCCCGCCTCCCCACGCTGAGAGCTCGATGCTCTCCTACCTCCCAGGCTGACAGCCAGCGGACAAGGTAAGGCACGGGTTTGATCCGAAGGGATTGCAGGCTGCCGGTCAACCTCCCAGGGCAGCGGGGCCACGGCCCGGAGCGCGGCCCTGCCGTGAGAAACCCTGGAGCTCTGTCCCGGGGCGGGGGAAGAGCTCCGGGCTGCCGCGGGCCGCGGCCGTGGGGCTGCAGCCGGTTCCCCCGGCCCGGGCCAGCCGCACCTTCCCAGCGCGGGCACCGCCGCTGCTCGCCCCGGAGCAGCCGGGGAGGCTCCACGTCCGGAAGAGCGACCTCCCGCTCACGGAAAATACTGCCCACGAGTGAAGAGAGCCAGAGCGAACAGGGGCACGGCAGGTCCGGGGGAAGGGGGCCGGGGAAAAGTCCCTTCCCTCGGCCCGCTCCCCTCCGCTCCCCCGGCCGCTCGCAGGTGAGCCCCGGAGTTCAGCTGCGCGGTCCGGATAACACATCCTGCCCCCAGAACCAAACAAAAAGTGTAAAAATGAATTCATCCCATAGCGCCCTACCTTGTCCTCCGCATACCCACGCACTTTACCTGTTTTTATGCCGGGTTTTTAATAAATTCCTTCCAAAAGGAGCCATGATCCCAGCGGCATAACATCAGCGATCCCCAAAGAATTCGAGGGTGTTCCCTTCTCCCCTATTTTTTTGCCTGAGCGCCTTCCAGCTTGTTAATAGTCACCGAGCGTAGCGATGAGCTGGAAGTTGTGCAATTTACTGCTAACTTTGAACTCCAGCTTGTTGCTGCTGCTGCACCTTTGGAGTCCTGCCCAACTGCGAACTTGAAGGAGGTGTTTAGAAGCAGGAAAAAGAAAGGGGGGGGGGGGGGGGGGAATACGCACTTGCTCCTGTGATGTGGAGTTATGCACAGAACTTGCTAAACTTTCAGCCTTGTCACCCTCAGGGCAGCAGGTAGCAAATGGGAAAGAGGGGGCTTTGCTCCCGTGTGGAACTCCGTAAAGGCGCACACACACACACACACACACACGCACACACGCACACACACGCACACGCACAAAAGCACTGAAAACTTTCCCCGGGAGGCTCCAGCCACTTCAGGTCAAGTCGCTCAGCTCAAACGCACGTTAATGAAGGGCAAGCTGCAGTTGCCACACCAGTTCCCAGTGCATAATAACCTGCCTTCTCGGTACCTCAGTACTTCTTCACAAGGTGTTGAACGAGTACGGCGAAGATGAAGGGAAAAAGACCGCTGTGGCCCCTCTGCTCTCCCGGGACTTTTAAGTAAACGAGCTATTTGCATGGCAGCCTTTACAGATTAAATGCACCTTCGAAAATGTGGCCTAGCAGAGAACAAGTGAGGCAGCAACACGAAAGACTGGATTCGTACTAAGCTGTTCCACGACCTTTTTTGTTATTATTTTAAACTGGCTTTGCCAGAAGGGAAGTGAACACACACCATGGTTCCTGTTCACAGCAACCCTCTGGGAATGAGAGATTTGGAGCGGAGCTTCAGAAGGAAAAATCTTTTATTCTCCCCCCACCGCCCACCACTTTGGAGCAGAGCAGGGCAAAGAGGAGCCATTGTGCCCAAAAGGCTGATGCCAGCGGGTGGAGATCCCGGGGCAGCTGGGAAGCCCTGTGCACAGTCCTAGCACACCGTAGCCCTCTCCTTTCTGTAGCAATTTAACAGGTACATATTAGATGTAAGTAATTCCTTTTTCTTTTTTTTTTCCTCTGACAGGGCAGATTCTTTGTGTGACTGCCCAAAGGTACAGCACAATAGGGAATTGTTTTATCAACCAGAGGCAATGATTAAATAGGAGCCTACCAGAGTAAGGGCTTATCTGAAAAAAGTATTTTTCTAAATTTCCCCCTTCCTCCCTTGTTCAAGAATTCAATTTTGCTGAAGAAAACAAAGCAAAGGCCCGTTTCATGGTTTACCTATTACTGGCAGCTCTAGGAATACCCCACATATTTTCAGTTCAGTCCCACGCCTCTGAATCCTCTGAACTGTAACTACAAAGGGAGGGACCGGAGCCTCTTAAAAGCCTTGTTTGTGTATTCATTCAAATAAGACAAAAAATAGGGAACCTGAATAAAATAACTTTCAGCTTTCTTATCGTGCTGCCAGAGTAGGCTTGAAATAGTCTGATTTCAGTATTATGAACATAAGCACACATTAAGTCCATAGAAGTCTTTCTTTTTGCTTTGAATCAGGTTATATATGGCACAAAGAGGGAATTTTCCTATATCCAAAGGACTGGGAAATTTTTTCAGTACCTAAGAGATGTTTAAGGCCTATTTGGCATAAAAAACAAATCAGTGTAGAACTTCTAGAGAATAATTAGTGTTCAAGTAATTATTTCTATTGGGAAGTTAAAATGAAATAGCTTTATCTACAAAATAATATTCACTTTTAATTATGAAAATAAATGGGAACTCAAAGATATTTGTAGCTGGTTTTATTACTTATGAAGAGTCATCTCACAATTTTAATTTATTCCAAAAATTAAAATACCATGCAAATTGTTCCTCTTCCTCTAGCAAATGCAAAATCAATTTCAACCAAATATATGCAATGTGGGTCCCTCTACACAAGTAAATCAAAATGTTTGTTACATTCATGTAGTTATGCAAAGAATTGTAGAAAGGACTCCAGCATAATAAGTAGACATTTTCCCCACAACTGAGGGAAAAAGAGGCCTTTCAGTCTATGCACTTTCAAAATTAGGCTGGCCAAAACCAGGAAAAAAGTATATGAGTGTATGATAAGTGTATTACAGACTAATAAAGAAGAGAATCTTAAGAATGAGGAACATAGCCCTTTCCTGAAAAACAAGAGCAAAGGATGTTTAGTACACCATGAAGGAGTAACTACATGCACTTTCTTCCAATATTCAATTAATTGTAGAACGCAAAGAGAAATAACATAGGGGGCAAAAAGACCTACTTAGTTTATAGAAAAACATACAAAACCACATGAAAATGCATGGATATTTCTCTTATTAAAAGAAGGGACTTGAATTTCCATTCCCCAGCACCTAGGCTAGTTTCTGGATAGAGTAGAAATAGTAGCAAAACTTTGCAGAAAGACAGGTTAATTTTGTAGGCAGTGTTGACACAACAGTTCAGTTAGCTTGTCCTTAACCTTCCAAAGTGCCTCAAATTATCTGTATCTGTATGTACACGTCCTCAGTTTTCTTTAAACTGCAGCTCTGATCTTCCAGGAATATTGTACTAACATTCCAGACCAGGGCCCTGGCACTTCCCAGCATGCCACGTTGAATAAAAAGCCACAACCACTCAAATTTTGGGTATGATCACCTTCTAATCATACTTTCTGCATGCAAAGAGCTAAAAGGTGACTAGCTGGTAACATCACATTTTTTACCTGCAAGCTCACCAAATTGTTCTCTGTCACAGTATTTTCCCTCTAGGAGAAGTAATTAATGAATTTCAGGCAGTCTGTTACGCAGGATCATTTTTTGAAAAAAATACATATATATGAATCTTGAGATCTTCAGAAAGACATGCCAACAATTCATTCTTGTATTTAAAGTGGAAGGAAAGGGAATTATAAGCACTAGTGTATTACCTGCCATCTTCTGAAGCAAGTCACTCGAGTATTTTATTCTTCTCTGCGAAAATACTGCTGTACACAAGTGCTTTAAAACCCACCTTTAATTCAGATTTAGAACCCAGCTTTAACCATACCAATCCATGGGTATAGTTTCAAATTAACTTCTTAAAGGCAATGAGGAATGGGAGTTCTAGTGCTCCCTCTTGCCCTGTCTCACCTCTCTTACCCACCACTCAGCTCCAGTGTTTATCTTAAACAGTCTCCAGGATCTCATCTGATCTCCTTGTAAGCTGATGCAATCTATGCAAATTGGAACCCAGCAAAAAAAATTTGTTTATTTTGCTTTGGCTGATGGCTGAGATGAGTTGACTTACCTCAGGATCTGAAAAGTTCACTCAGGCAGTGTGATTTCCAAAGCTGATTCAAGGTAGGAATACTAAGACAAAAATGGGATGAATCAAAGGAGAACTTGGAAATAGGGGGAAGAAGGTAGACTTCCTTTGGCTGAGTGGTAATGTAGCTTGGCAGCTTAGCCTGTTCTAAGAGTGGGTTCACAAGAAACGACTTCATCTCATCTAATGGCTCGCTGTCTTTAAAAGTGAGGAGTTCTTACTACTTTTTCCAGCTACAGACTCCTGACCCTTTCCTTGTGCCAAATCAGGTTTTCAACAGGCTTTGTGCTCACACCATTCGGCTTTTTAAATGGATGGAAAAGGGACTTGACACAGGAAGCGAATAAACAGCTTTTTGTGGGCTAGGTAGTTAAATTGGCTTTTTGAGGTATCAGACAGTTGGCAGATCTGGTATGTGAGGAGAGAAACAGGACGATGAGGCCAAGAATGTGGGAGGAGAGATGTGGGAGGAAGATGTCTTGTCTGAGCAGCCCCGAGCGGCTGGATTGGCTCAGCCACATTGTGAAACTTCATTCTGGCTGCAGCAGTGAGCAATGGAGACAGAAAAAGGTACCTTAGGAATAGGGCAATTGCCCATTCCTTGCTCCATGCATAGGGTGATTTGGGTACCTTCCTCATTTTAAACCTCATAAATATTGTGCCTGCTTGAGTCAGCCAAATGTATGAATGAAAGACACTAGACCAGATGGTCCAGTAATGTAAGAGGGAAAGGTCAATATTTGGATTACAATCCACTGAAACTCAGAAAAGTTGGTGATCAGTATTCAGAGAGGTTTAATATTTGCCCTGCTCAATTTACTTGAGAAGATTTCCATAAGGAACTCAAGAGGACTAGTGGCTGATAATAAAATAGCAGATGAGAGTCATGTTGATGAGTGTGGAGCAATTTACTCAGAAGGAAATCTAAACAAACCTTTAAATTAACTCTCACATCTTGGAAATGTAATTTATTTGGAACAACTCATTAAAAGCCTTATGTTAATGTTCTATACTGTTAAAAGCAAAACTAAACCAAAACAAACAAAAAAGAGAGAGTTAACAATTAATGAGAAAGGAATGCAGAATGAGTTGGAAAAGGTTGTTATGCCACTGTAAACTTTCACTCTGAGTCTACATTTTGAATAACAGAGCCCATCTGAAGGAGGACATTGAGCACATGGCAGGAGGAGTCTTGACATACAGAATAGTTTCATATGTGAAAGTACAGAGATAAGACTCTTGGCTCAGAGGGAATGGGAATATCTGATTAATTTAAAAGAGCTCTATGATAATCGTCATCATGAAGAAAATAAACATGAAACAATTATTTCTCACGGTGTAAATATAAGGACCTGCTGAAAGAAACAATCATAAAGCAGAGTTAAAATAAATACACATAAAAAGATTGTACTTTTAAGTAAATGACTTGAAGATAGAAGTGCTATCTGACTACAAATAATGACAGAACTGCCATTTGACTGCAAATTTTGGAAAGGAAGAAAGTAGGAATAGTTAAAAAGAGAGATTAGCAAAACCATGGATCTTATGACCAAGAGAAATCAGAAAAATTGCTGTATTCTGTGTCTTTATCACCTCAGTCCAGCTGTATCTCAAACCTCTTTTTTTTTTCCCTTCCTTTTCCTACAGCTCACTAGCTACTGGCATGGCCTAAAGTGCAGTAAACCTCACAGGTTACTTCTGATTTGCAGCTTGGGTCCACATGAAGCATCACCTTGGCTGCTCTGCCCTCTTGGCTGCTCTGTCCTCTTGTAGAGGACT